TATTCTTTGCCTGTTTGAATCCAACTATCCCTATAGATTGAATTATCACCTGTATTAAGATGGCTTCCAAATTTGTATTTTAATCGCTGACATATTTGGAACTGCAGATCTGAACATACAACTGCCTGATCACACAGTTGCCCTGTTATAAGCAATGGACTCTATTTATGTTTCCATCAAACCAACCTTATTGCCTCCCTCTCTATTTGCATTAGTCCCTCTTAGCCTCTGTTTGCATCAATCAGTACACCACCATCCCCTCTTGTTCTCCAGAATTAAAACAATAAAATCATCGTTGGCCTCTCCTCTTTTTCTTCCCCTTCTACTAGTCTAACTCATTATCAAGTCCAAAAGTTTTGCTAAATTAAAACTTTTCTTTCCATTTCCGTCACTTCAGTTCATAAGATCTCTTTCTAGGATCACGGTAAATCTAGCAATGCTCCCATCTAACAGAATTTTAATTCCCTCCCACTCCCTTCTAGTTCATCTTCTACAAGACTTACAGAGTCATTTATCTAAAAGCTCTAATCATGCCACGAACTTTCCCCGTTGAAAAGCTTTCAATGGCTACTTACTACCTACAGAATGAAGTACAAATTTCAAATTTATGCAAGGCCTTTTATAACCTGACCTTATCGATCCCCTCACTAGAAAAGCTTTCTCTTGTTCTTCTACACTGAAGTCTACCCATTGGGGACTATCCTCTAATTTCTGTGGTATTTCCTACCCCTTCCTAGCCCTGACCAGAAACACTCTTCTATCACCCTTTCTGAAATCGTACTTTCCCTTCAAGGTGCTGATCAAATGTTTCTATTTATCTCCCAGGTAAATTAAATTCTCCCAGTTACAATTAAAGACAAGGCACTTTTTTCTTTTTCTAGTATAGCTCTAATAGTCTGAAAGTTGCTTCTTATAAAAATCAAAACAACTACCCTCTGATCTAAGTTCTGAGTTAAAGGGCTATACAGATGAGCCTAATCCTTTTCTGTTCCACAATTTTTCAAATACTTGAAGCTCCTCCTGAATCTTCTCTTCAGAGGGTAAACTTTCTCAAGATTCATAGCTAATAATACTTACAGGTATAATTTCTAGAAAATTTCATCACCATAACTACCCCTGTTTGGATACTTTATATTTCTAAGCATCTCTCTTAAAGTGTGGTGTCCAGAACCAAACACAATACTCCAAACATGCATTTTTGCAAATTATGCACAATATTCACTCCACCCCACCAAATTTGGACATTTCAATATCTACTAGCAAATTAATTGAAAATAGTCCTTCAGTTAATAAACTTGTTAGTTTTTAAATGGGTTTAGATGCTTAATATATGTGCAAAAGAAGGTGAAAATAATAAAACAAGGTCCAAAGAGATTCAAGTCAGAATCAAGTATACTTCCTTTCTTTACCTTAGAAAGGAAGAGAATTATTTTTTGAAACATGAGATAAATGGAATCAAATGGATAAACACTTGCAATTTTCTATACAAAGTTTACTTGAGGAATCTTTTACTAAATAATCTATCACAGAGCAAGCAAGCTTTCAATGAAAATATGCAACTTCTTTCCTGAAACGCCGTACAATTTTTATTAAGTTAAAGTTTCAACAATTCTAAACTTAAATTCAGCTGACTAGACAAAACTCAAAAGACTTCTTTTGAATTATATAACAACAGCTTTTCTGTCATTAAATAATATCCTACATGGAAAATATAGTAGTTTGTTGATGATTGGCACCACAGTAATTAACTGAATTAAAAGAAAAATTAATTTCCTCTAAAGAGCTCTTAAATATTCTTCATTGGTGGTGTTGAATGCTTAACAACTTATGCAATTCAAAGAAAACTCAAGGAGATCTCTAAAAAACCACCTTTTGTATTAAAGAAATAAAAAAGATGACTTACTTTCAGAAAACTTGCTTTAAAACAAATTAAAAATATTTTCCCTTAAAATGATTATAAATCAATAAAAAATGTTAAAAAAAGAATAAAGTACTGATTGAGGCTACAAAAAAAAAAGATGAGTGGATAAAGAAGTTGTAGTATACTTATACAATGGAATCCTACTCAGCCAAAAAAATGAATAAAATAATGCCATTTGCAGCAACATGGATGGACCTGGAGATTGTCATTGTAAGTGAAGTAAGCCAGAAAGAGAAAGAAAAATACCATATGATATCACTCATAAGTGGAATCTGAGAAAAAAAAAGACACAAATGATCTTCTTTATAAAACAGAAACAGATTCACAGACATAGAAAACAAACTTGTGGTTACCGGGGGGAAAGAGGGTGGGAAGGGATAAATTGGGAGTTTAAGATTTGCAGACACTACCTACCATATATCAAGTAGATAGATAACAAGTTTATACTGTATAGCACAGGGAACTATATTCAATATCTTAGAGTAACCTATAATGAAAACGAATATGAAAATGAATATATGTATGTACATGTATGACTGAAAAATTATGCTGTATGCCAGAAACTGACACAAAATTGTAAACTGACTAGACTTCAATAAAAAAAATTAGATCTGTTTAAAAAAAAATTTTCCCTTGATTTCTAGTAGAAGGTTTAAAGAATGTGTAACACTGCTTACAGACTGTACAACAAATCTGTGCCCCAGGCCTCAATTATCTAAAAACTGAGGCACACAGAGGTATTAGATAGCATACAGTGGTTCTAATACATCATCAATAAAAGTCTGATTTTCCCACAACCAAGAGTACACATATCTAAAATAAACTAACTGAAGTATAAATTGGCAAAAGCACTTAGGGAAACAACTTGGTATTATAATAAAGAGAAACATCCTTAGACTCACAAATTATATTCTTTTAGGATACACATGATTTTGTCAATTTAAGTCTTTCTTTAAAGACACTGTATTTTCACTGAAATGAAACTGATACAAAAAAATTTTAATAGTCAAAAGATTTGAACAGATACTTACAAAAATCTGAAGATGGCAAATAAGCACGTAAGATTTCTGAACATCCTCAGTCATTAGGAAGATGAAAATTAAAACCACAGTGAAATAACACTATCTACCTATTAGAATGGCTAAAATAAAAATTAAAAAAAAACCAGAATACCAAGTGCTGATGTGATTGTGAAACTAGAACTTTTATGCGCTGTTGGCAAGAATGCAAAATGGTACAGCCAATTTTGAAAATAGTTTGGCAGTTTCTTATAAAGTTATATATACATTTACCACACAACTCAGCAATTGCACTCCAAGCTTTTCACCCAAGAGAAATTACGTTTACATGAAATCTTATATGGGAATGTTTATAGGATTTCCCCATAATCACCAAAAACTTGAAACAACCTAAATGTCCTTCAGCTGGTAAATAGATAAATTGTGGAAAAGTCATATAATGGAATATTACTTAGTAGAAAAGGAACTACTGACACATGGAGGACTCTCATCTGCATGATGCACATGAAATAAGTTAGACTCAAAAAACTACACCTTTTATAATTCCCTTTACATGATATTCTGGAAAAGGCAAAACTATAGGAACATAAAACAGGCAAGTGGTTGCCAAGGGCTGGTTATGGGGCGAGGGAATGGACTACTAAGGGGTAGGAGGGACTTTGGGGGTGATGGAACTGTTCTATATCTTGATTGTGCAGATACTTCACACGACTACGCATTTGTCAAAAATCATAAAACCAGAAAGGATGAATATTACTGTATATAAATTATACTTCAATTAAAAAAAAAAGCTCCATCTGATGTTTTTCCTATTTTTTAAAAATGTTACCTGAAAACTTACGGAAAAGAAACATCTTTCCCCCACTGCTTGCAATCTGTCAAGAAATACTTCACCACCATGCTAGGTTCTTTCTGGACTTTTTTTAAAGGACATATTTCCTGCCCTGACAAAGTTTAAAAGCTTATTACGGAAGCAAGTTTAAGATATTAAAATAAGTTACTGAAAAGGGCTAGGCAAAACAATTTTGAGTGATAAATCAAAGAATACACTTTTATATATGTTCTACGAAGAAGGAAGAAGAAACTCTTGTCAAGAGTTACAGAAATGAATGGAACACAATTTTGAAAGGACTCTTCTCAATATTGTTATTATTACCACCTCTAGCTTTCAAGTGAGGATACTGAGAGTTGGCGAGGACAAATATTTTGTCCGTGATCCCTCAGCTATTAGGTGTCAAAGTTGAGACTGTAAGCTTTTCTGACCCCAAAGCCTGAAATATTTTGCATCGCAGTGCTGGAACACAGAGATTATGAAGGCTAACACGTGGTGTGCTTTCAATGAACAGGAACGTCCCCTAAATCCCCGAACTCCGGATTTCGCTCGAATCCTACACAGAAGTACGATTAGAGCGCTGGATCTTAAAGTGAGCTCAACAGGGTCTTGGAGTGCAAACTCCAGGGGAAACGTAACGTGGCGCCTCGTGGGGATCTCTTTTCCACGCTGTCAGTGTGCATGGACCTACTTCTAACAGTTTTGGCTGTGAGGAAGGTGACGCCAGAGCCATGCAAAAAGGTCAACACCAAGAAAGAGGAGAGCGGAGGCGCTCAAAATACACCTCTTTAATTACCAACGCCGTCCTGGTCGCAAGGGGGACACAGGAGGAGGAAAGAAAGGCATTTCCCTACCCCTTCCCGAGACCTCTGGTAAAAGACCTGCGTAGACTTGTCCCTGTCGACGTCTCCCGATAGCAAGGACCCACGCTGGGGCGTCCTCCGCCCGCAAGGCTCTCGGCGCTGGGAGGAGAGGGGTGTGTGCGCGGGCCGCGGCCGGGCGAAGGACCCAGCCGCTGCGGCGCGGGGACGGCTGGTACTCGCCGGGCGGCTCGGCGAAAGCCTGAGAGAAAGGCGGCGGGCAGAGCGGAGGGGCGGCGGAGTGAACCCACTTGGGTTGTCCTCTCTGGTGATTATCACAAGTGCCGCGCGGTGCGTTAGTTTACCAAACGCTCTCCCTTTCCCCTCGTTTCCCCACCGCTCAATTGCCGCCCTCGCTCTCATCTCACCTCTCCAGTTCCTGTACTCCGGGATGTAGTAGTATTTGTTGCCGAACCGGTCTGTGCCCACTAGCTCCTTCACTTCCTTTGACAGCGGTCTCCACAAGACGCGGAACAAATCCTGAAACCAACCCATGCCGCCCGAAGGCCCCCAGCTGCTGTCGGGCCAGAAAAAGAGTTCCGCCCCCACCGCTGACCCCGCCCACCGGCTCAGAGGAGTCCCACCCTCCTCCATCCGCACACCCTCTAATAACGGCACTCACCATTGGTCGGATGGCATCAGGCTTGCCCAATGAGAGACTCCGCTGTTTCAGCCCGCCTCCGAGTTCTGTCATGGCGGCGTCCGGTTCTCTAATCTGTGCGAAGGGACGGGATGCTAGGGTTTTTGTCGGCGCGACAAACGGGTTTGGACGACCCTCTTCGCCTCCAGAGAGCGGAGTCCACACGGAGGTAAAGAAAACCTTGCTCTTTTCTCTAATATGCCAGAATGTCTGGGCCAATGGCTGTGTTAGCCTAGTCTCCCTTTCCCGCCTCATTATCACTCGCTTCCCAAACCACACTCGGCTTTACACTCCTGCTCCTTGGCTTGCGAAAATAGAATTCCTTTTATACACTTGCAGGCAGGTGGGGGCGCTATAAACCTAAATGAGGATATTTTCGCTTTAATTTATTCTTTCTTCCTCATTACTTTTCTCGTCTCCCAAGTAATAATTTTTCCCCGAGGATTCGTTCATTCAGTGAGTCGACATATTTATTGAGCTCCTGCTATGTGCCAAGCAATATGTAAAAGGCCAGGAGCTGAACAAAGTTTAGCATGACTGGAGCAAAGAATTGAGGGGAGAGGGCCATTGACAAGTGAAATGGTGAAGTAGGCTGGGACTAGACCGGGAAGAGACTTGTGTGCTTGGTTAAGAGTATGAGGTGAGAATAAGGTGACAACTATTGCATTTTGTCGCCTGCTTGGAGAATGGATTGAAGTTCAGAGCAAGAGTGGGAGCCAAGTTACTAACTGTCTCAAGAAAAGAAGTGATAGATGCCAGAGCCAGGCACATGACATTTGGGACCAAAAGGGTGAAGATATTTGAAAAATATTTAAGAAATAGAATCAACCAGCCATGGAAATTGGTTATAGTGAATAACGAAAAAGGAGGAGTAAGCAGTGATTCCCAGCTGTGTGCCTTGTATGGCAAGGTGAATGATGGTGATATCTCTCCCCAAAGGAGCAAGTTTTACTTTAATTTGCCCCGTATTGATTTTTCCCATATTGCTTTCAAAGAACTTGTGAAGATTTCACTTGGAGAGTGGAGGGCACAATTGCATATATATGTTTGATGGTTAGGAGAAAGTTAGACATCTAAATGCAAGATGATACGAGAAATGAGGAGACCATAAGATCAAGTAGGCACAATTTTTGGAGTAAGAAGAGAGTTCAATGATAAAAACCTGAAAAAATATCAACACTTAAAGTTAGGAAGAAGATGAGACTGCTAACAGACTGAAAAGGGGTAACCAGAGGAAAACCAGGGTGGTGAGGTATCATGGATGCTGAGAGAAGACTGTTTAAAGAGGGAGCCATCAAAGGTGTCAATTGCTGCCCCCAAATCCCTCCTTTGCTCTCAGTAGTTCTCCATCCCATTACTCTGATTTATTTTCTTCATTCAATTAATTGCTATTGTATTATATATTGCTATTATATTATATATTTATTTTCTTGCTAGTATATTGTCTTCTTAACCCCTTATTCCCAGTGCCTGAAAGACGGTTTGGCACAATTTGTGTGATATTTTGTGTTCTAAGCTGTATTATCCTTACATTTTAGTATTATGCTTTTAGAATGAGTAAATATGTTTCTGAATAGTGCATGTAATTTTACCTAAATAAGTAAGCATTATTTTTCTTAACCATGTTTTGGTTAGTTTTAAGCATGATTAAGGTTGCATCTACTGCTGTCATCTTGTCCCCAGCCCCAGTTAGTACACAGTTGACAATAATTCCTTTTCAGCTAGGTTGTCCACTCTAATAAAAGCATACAAACATACCCAGAGATTTTTATTCCACTGACTGCAGGAACTCAAGCAAAATGTCATGTGCTGTCATCAGAAGTTGTCAGTCTGCTTTGATTATGTGGCTTGTTTCCACCAAGTAGTTCTGCAGTTCTTCCTAACTGATCAGCAAAGTAAACTTTGGATAATGGGTGAAGTTGTCTGTTATCTTAAATTTCAGTAAAAATAGCAGTACTTTTTTGAAAAGAAGCAGCATTATTTTTTCCCTAATATGTCCAGAAGTCTTATAGCAGTAATAATTTAAATCATGTGCTGAACAAAGTTTAGCATGATGGAGCAGAGAACTGGGGGGAGAGAGCCATTGGCAAGAGACGAAGCTGGCAAAGTAGGCGGGGACTAGAAGCACATGATTTAAATTTGGTTTCTCAGAGTCTTAATTCCAAAAAGTTCCTGGTCTAAGGAAGCTACTAAATATAGCTCTTTAGCACAGTCAGAATTCTGTGACCTAAACCTCTTACTTCATTAGAAGAAATGAATTTCAAAATGATGAAAGTTTTCTAACCAAATTAATCCGTCTGTAAATGGATTTTATTTCCTCTATAAGACACACTGATTCCCTGAGCATACTTATCACTTCTGGTTAGAAATCTATAGTAATTCCACACACATCTCTCCTACCATTGCTTTGTGTGCTTATCAAAAGTCGGTGTTTGTCCCTAATCCTGTTAATGCAGGTTTTACTTATTTGTTTATATCATTTTAGTGTGAGCTGATGAAGTATGAATACAAAAGTTGCTGTTCTTACAAAAACTGAATGGACCACTTTTGAAATACTCAGTGCAAACAAATGGCTTAAAACAAAGTGAGATATGACTGAGACAATTATTATAAAAGATTTGGGGAAAGTGTAAAAAGATGAAACAGTTTTTCTCAACTTTCCAAAATATTGAAATCACATAGGGTATTTGGAAAAATATTCATGATAAAGTTCCAGTCCCAGGGATTCTAATTTAATTGGTCTAGGATGCTAGGATTTTTTAAAGTGTCCAGGTGATTGTCATGTGTAGCTAGAGTTGAGAAACATTGCTTGAGAAAGATTCCACATTCAGTTATTTTGCATATGCCTTAAATTTTCACCCAACTAACATAAATAAGTTAACATATAAACAAATTTTGAAAATCCCTGAAAATCATAAAATATATATAATATGGGTATGGTTTATAGAAGAAGATATGGCCCTCTGTTCAGCACATTTAATTCTTCTTCAGACAGTTAGCAAATAGACAGTCCTTGCTTTGCATAGTAGTGCATATCCAGAAAACTGATTGTGTAAGCTGAAACCTATACAGTGATCTTAATAACTTGTGGAGAAAATCACAATTCTTCTGTGACCTTTAAAATTTTTTTGTCAAAACACCAGAAGACTGTCAGTATTTACAGAGAAATGAAAAAATAGTAAAGCTAATATTTAACACATTGTAATGTCAAACATTAGAAATGATACGAAGCGAAGTATATGTCTTTGTAAAAAGAAAAAAGAAAAAAAAAATCCCAGCCTGTTAAGAGTAGTTTGAGCTGTGCTTGTCTTTTTCTCATTGTACAATTTACAATGCAAGTTGAGCTTCTTTCTTTTCAATATATCTTTTCTATACATTGGCTAATTATCACACTCCTTTCTAAATTTGTATCAGATCCCAACATTTTGTCCTTTTCATTGTCAATGTCATGAAATATCTCCAAGAGTTCTCTTAATGTGAAGATTTTTGCCAGTGTCACTTCCTCTGGGACATCTTCAGCCTTTTCATCACAAACACTTTTCCTCATTTATGTCAATAGGTTCACCTTCATTGATTTCCTCCATCTGCATATCTAGAGTTTCTAAAATGGCAGCAGTGTAGACATTCCTGCAGTCAGCTATCTTTTATAATTCCATTTATGTTCAGTTTGAGTTTCACTTCCAGCATTATCATTTTGCATTGCTTTTGTGCACTTTAATTTTGTTTGCCAGTTTCCTCAATCAGTTATGTGTTTTTGTGAAATTCCTTATGAGTTTATCTCAGGGGCACAGAGGTAACAAAACTAAACACTGTGTGTGAACTGAAAACAAATGCAGTGATCATCTACAGACTTTGAAAGAAGTCATACAAAGTGGTTGTTAATTATGATGTGCATATTGTTTTTATAGTGTTTTGTGGACTAAAAAGCAAGTACTGAACATTGTGCTTTCTGCTATTACTCACAGTTGATATACCATGGTAACTGAACTTCATGTGTATCTATCAGACTATGCAAAATAAAGACTACTTGTGTATTTAAGTTAAAATAAAGTATTTAAGGTATTTTCTATTAAGATTCCCTTCATTAAGTGATGTTGTAGTTTAACTAAACAACCACACAGTCCTATTATATTTGAAGAAGAGGTCTACTGTAATTTGCCCCAGTTTCTTTTTTGTCCCTGGCCATGGGCAAAGGCATGAACACTGAAATGCAGTGTTTACAATTCATACCCTCCTTTTTTTATTTTACAAATTTATTGAGGTACAATGACATGTAATAAACTACACATTAAATTAGAATATATAATTTAATGAGTTTTGACATATATATACACATTTGATACCATCACCATAATCAAGATAACAAATATCTGTAAGCCCCCAAATTTCATCATGACTGTATATAATCCCTCTCACCCTTCTTTCCATGTTCCGCATTCTTTCTACTCTGGAAAACCACTAATCTGCTTTCTGTCACTATTCATTAGTTTGTATATATCAGAATTTTATGTAAATTAAATTATTTTTTTATCTGGGTTCTTTCACTCAGAAAAAATTATTTTGAAATTCCTCCATCCTGTTGCATGCATCCAGTCTTTTTTGTTGCTGAGGAGTATTCCAGTGTGTGGCTTTACCACAACTCGGTTTACCTGTTTGTTTGTTGATGAGCAACCTAGTGGTTGCTCTAGGAATTATAGAACACCTACTTAACTTTTAATTTTCTAATTAGAATTAATATTTTTCTCCTTCATTTGGCATATTGAGATTTTATCACTTTTTACTTTCCATCATATATGTTGTTGTCTTATTTATTACATATACATACATTGTAAATTCCATTGGTCAGTGTTACAGTTTTTGCTTTGAACCATCAACATCCAACAGATT